AGAAAAAGGGGGTAGGAAGAACATGGGTTGTGTTTGCCCAAAGTGACAGTGTGGGCCAAGGGCTTATCAAGGCCTTTGTAGATTATTGATCCAAGCAGATACCGAGCTCTGGGCATGTGCGCTGCGTTCAAGGTTTGGGAAGTTCTGGCTGGAGTCACTCAAATATCACAGTCCCACTCAACTTCAGTTTTTATTCAAATGTTTCACAGTGACAAACGGGAGTCATTTCTGAAAGAGGTCACGTCAGGTCAGCATTAAGTGGAAAGCCTTTTGGTTCTTGTTTTTGAGGAACGCAAATAATGACTGCGTACTTTTCTATTTTAAGTCAGCATACTTCTTAACTACAGAAATTATGAATAACTATGTATTTCAATGCCATGGAATCATCATTAGAAAACTGTTAAGTAAACGTTTTCAGTATCTCTATGTTGTTATTACACTGAGACAAAGAGACAAGCATAATTAGAGATTATTTTGTACTTATCAAATATTTTACATGTGCAATGTGTACATTTTCTTGTATGGAAAACTGTATTGCCTTGCCTTGAATGTTCCACAATATGGAATTAAACTTATGTGATGCCGAGCAGGTGATGTAATCAGGCCAAGTCATAAACGTAAACACGAGTCATAAAACAGCTGTAACTGAATAAAAACAAGATAGGTACGTTTAATGCCATACTGTGGAACATCCTAATCAAAGTGATAACATAGCTGAGATAGAAAAGTTAGTGCACCTCTAAGTTTAGCTCTGGTATTTACACTATTTTCTGATTAATATTATAACGTTATTTCTTCATCACAAACATATCTGGAGTTGTGTTTTTTTTCAGTCACACATGTTTAACACACATACCCTGCATATTTAGGATGAGTTCTTCTCTCAAACTGACACTCTGTTCCACCTTTTGATGTCATGTGATAAAACAGGAAGTGCTCCACTGCATTTTTAAACTCCATACAGAATCACTTGGATAATGTCAGTGAAAATCAGAATCAGTCAAATCTCTCCTGAACAAAAGGTAAAAGGTAGCTGTGCTTCATGACATCATGAGGTGAAAAAGGGCATCTTGAGCTTTGGAGATGTAGACAGACTAATAATAAAGAGTTACGCAAACATGTGTGAATAAAACAAAACACAACTTTGGGTATGATTTTCAGCAGGAAACAACATTCCAAAATGTCTTAAAACTCACAATAGTAAATGTTTCATGTTATATACCTTATAACATGATATTGGTTACTTGCTGTATTATTGATTAGAAGGACAAATGTTTCAGAGAATGATAAAGTAAAAAGTAAATTCAGGTAGTGGATATTTAGGTATCATCAACTTGACCTGCTGACTGTCCCTGTATTTCCAAACACATGGGAAACACGACATTCCCAGGCTCATCTGAAGTTAGGAATTAACCCGGTTGGCAGTGGGAGCCCGTGTCCCTGCATTTTGTCCTTCAAGGCTCCAGCTCGCCACCAGCCGCACACATGACGCTTGTATAGCCTTATCTTCCAGGGTCTCGTCTTGTTTGGCTAGCACTATGCAAATAGAAGGTGCAATACATCTCCTGACAGTTCCCAAAAGCGAAGGGGCGAAAACACATGCTGGCCAAACAAACAGCTAACCCTGAGTCACCGGGAGACAAGAGATTTCGCAGGCTTTAGTAATACATGCACACACACTCACACACATACATGACAGAGAGTGTGGAGTGTGTAACAGTAGCCTTCAGTGGAGGGGCCCCTTGGCTACCTTTTTAAACATTTGTCTAAGCAGTCTTAAGACAGGGGGGTTGCTGTGCAGAATGAATAGCTCCCAGCAAGCCGTCCACAGCCTTCTATTGTCCTCCGTCATATTTTATTATCTCATCAAAAAAGCAGGAAATCCGATTCCCTCTCTCTGAAAAAGAGCTTATCCTTCAGTCTCAAAGCAACCTGTCACAAGAGAGGCCGATGGAGAGAAATGGACTGGGAGTGATTAACAACCTCAACCCGCTTGCAAGTCAACTTGCTTGTTCCTCCTTTTGTAGCATAGTGTTTCCTTTAAATGGCTGAGAAGAATAGTTAATGCTAAGGTAAATGTTATTTTTTCAAAAAAATTACTATATCTACTTACTGTCGATATAATGAAAGGTGGAGCAATATATACTGCGCTGAATATTTATCTTGAGGACATTTTCTTTGCAGTAATGGGCAGATTTTTGTAATTTTTGTTGTAATACAATAAGATTTGAGCCTTAGAGGGTTGAATAAGCAATTTTCATGACTTTATTGCTTCATTCTGTTATGTATTTGTTGCAGCTCGGGCTTTTTAATGATACTCTATATTTTAAAATTGGTTTCCTAGGAATACACTATTTTGTGTCAGTAGCATAAAGTAGTTTCAGTATTATGATGGTAGCAATACATCGTGCTTCAAATTTTGTTACAGTGTCAGACCTACTGCTAAATCAACACATATGTCTGCTATTTACTTTATTTCAAGCTACCAAACTTGTTTTTATTAGTGATGATCTCTTGAAAATCTTGACAGTATTATCAATATGTAGGCTGATATCCTCCCATCTCACATACTTGTTCCCTGCCTTCATGTGACTGTTTGCTCTGCCATTGCCACCTCCTTCCTCCCCTCTCTGTACATCTGTCCTTTAATTTTGGGCTCTGCTGAGAAGTTGTTCAAAAGCCCTATGAAATATGTATGAAGGATTGTGAGCCACGCGATTGGCCCCATTTACCGGACAGCCCGGGCGAATGAGAGCCCACACCGGATAATCCCCCACAATGCCCCTGGAACAAAAGCCCAACAGCTGACCCCAGAGAGAGGGAGAGATAAAGTACAGGGCAGGAGGGAGGGGGCAAGCGGGATGAGGGAGGGGTCGCGGACAGTTAAGACAGCTCATACTCAAAAACAAAGGACTGTACACAGGAAATAACTGTGTGCTATATCCAACTGTTGATGAGTTTAAGTAAAAGTAAAATATATACATATAATTTTAAAACAATTATGATCAAATTGTGACCACATAGTTGCACAACTCCCAATATAACTTTTACATAGGGTGTAAAGATTTAATTTCTGGTGAGACATTCATTATATTGTATAATATATTGTAATATACATGAGACTGGAAAAGGACTAAAGGTGTCACATGCGAGTAAATACTGGAGTTGTCAGCACAAATACAGTAAATTGGCCAAGTGTCTGAAGATTGTAAAAATGATTATTTTGTCTTTCACTTTCACTTTCTGTCCATCAGCATATGTCACTCTGTCCATCTCCTTAGACCCTTGTGGGCCCCTCCTTCCCAGCTCCCTCCGCCCTCACAGTCTCACTCTAGCGCTCTCTCAGTCAAGAGGATCTGAAATACCAATACCCTTTTCTCCTTGACATTGCTTTCTCCTTGCAGTCAGCGTTTTGCTGTCCTTTTATAGTCAAAACGTCAGGAGAAATTCCATGCAGGAATATTCTTAGTAATGCGGCACTCCCTGCATCTATACAGCTCTGTGCAGAACCACTCATTTTGTGGAGTCTTATGGGAAAAGCTGGTGTATACTTAGACACAGAAATGCCCTCACTTCAGGGTCATTGTGCCAGTGTTCCACGCGTGACAGTAACCCAAACAATGAGTTATATCACCAGCACAGCCCCAATGGGGAGTTTAATATTTGGGTTCTACTTGGCCAAGCTTCTTATTCACGCCTCACCTTTTGGACAGTGCCAGAGCACAGGGCATCTCCATTCATCACCTGGAGGGGGGCGGCTGGCTGTCCCATGAGTGCGTGTGTGTTGAACTGTCTATGTGCACGTTACACTGGCCACTAACCTTGGCGCGTCCTGACACTCCTGATGAGTATCCGCAGGACGCTGCATGGAGGAGCACTGTCAGGCGTTTGGGCACCAAGAGAGAGCGAGAGGGGGAGGGAGTCAGCACTATCCAGCCAGGTGACCCCTGAAGGCTGGGAGACTGGGCCAAACCCGGGCAATTGTGTGTGTGTGTGCCGTTGTATATTTCTCTGTTGGAGAAATGTGTGTGTGTATGTGTGTGGGGGTGTGTGTATGTGTGTATGTGTGTATGAGCATGTGTGCGTCTGACAGAGTGCTGGCTCGGGGGAAGGTGTCACAGATCTTTGCCAGACTAATCATCTCCATAGTGTTAGTGAACACATCTGTCAGGAGTACTAAAGAGGCAGTGTGTCTCCGTACTCCCAAAACGTTTAGTACTTCCTCTTTGGCCTGCCCCGCTCCTTCACTGCTCCTCACCGCTGTGCGTGCAGATTTACAGTGTGAGCATAAAGCTGTCACATACTTCAGGGAGGCACAGAGGAAGTGGGAGACGTGTGCGCACAGTGTGAGAAAACCTGAGAATTTTAGAAGAAGTGGCCACCACCTTGATAAGATTTTAAGGAAGTTGATACCAATGACACAGTACATGTATAGTCTCAATAAATTATGGACAGGAGTAGCTTCCATTTCTATTTTATTGCTTCTACAATCTGAATTCTGAAAACTCAATCTGTCTCTACAAGACCAAGCATTGGTTTGCTGGGATAGTACCTGAGCTAAATACAGTTTTACGCCAGTTAAATGGCAGTTTCTGGAAAAAAGTAGTTAAGAAGGAATTAAGTAGAAAAATACAGGAAGTAGCAGTGAGTTCTACAACCAAAAATACCCTACCTATGTCATCAAAATGCAGGAACAATTAACACATGTAAGATATTTTTTCTGCCATTTTACACTTTCATTTAATAAAATAAAGGTGATGTTATTTATTTGTAATCTAATCATAACTATTGGCCCTTATTACATTACACATATTACCTTATGCATGCCTTATATCATATACATTTTACATTCACACTACAAATTCTGTGTACTTCAGTTTGATCAGAAATACAGATCACATTTTAATTTAAATTTAGTTTTATGATTATTTTCATTTTATCTGCAAAACAACACTGCTATTTTAACATATCCTCTCTCTCTCTCTTGTGTGTGTGTGCAGGTGCCTGACCGTTTCCTGGAGGTGGCAGAGGTCACGCTCAGAGAGTTTTTTAACGCCATAGTGGCTGGTAAAGACGTGGACCCCTCCTGGAAGAAGGCCATCTACAAAGTCATCTGTAAACTGGACAGCGAGGTGCCCGAGATTTTCAAGTCCCCCAACTGTCTCCAAGAGCTCCTACATGAGTAAACCACCATTCCTGCTCCTCCTTCTACTTCTGAACATCCTAATATTATTTATCTGATTTTTGAAGAGTTCCAATTTTTCCTTTTGATTTTGTTTATTTCTGAATGTATGGAAGTTATGAAGTAGCATTCCCGATTTGAAGGCCACTGCGGCGATTCCTGAATGAACCTAGCTATTGTGTTGTTGTTCTTATATAATTATTACTATTATAATTATTATTTGTTTATTTTTTATGATTCTACTGAAATGAAGAGACTTTAATGTTATTGGGTGTTTTTTTTCTTTTATGGACTGTGTGATTCCTCATCCATTTGGCTTGTTGTATGAAAACTAACTTTAGTTGTGAATGTATGAATGGGGCCCTCGTATACACTGTTAAGAACATAGATTTTACTGAACTGATTTTGAAGCCACTGACACTGGACTTCTGGGGGTGTTTGACTGGACATGAGTGGTCTGCACTGGTCTGTGAGATTTCGATTGCTGAACTTGACCATGTTTTGAAGTGTGCAACTCTGGCACTGTGTTAAAGGGGTGTACATTATTTTGATGATTATTATTATTGTTACAATGTTGTTGTTTATGATTACTTGTCAACAATGCTTGCTGAGGATTGGCACTTGGAGATTTTGTTTGTCCCTTATTGCCACTGCAGAAACAAAATAAATTATTACTATTATTATTATTCTACATGTTCGGATGTGTCTTTCCACTCATATACATTTGGAAATTCTTTTTGGTTTAGATAAGTCTTGTGTTTTGACCAGAAGGTTTGAGAAAAGATAGCTGAATAGCTGAATGAATAGCTGTTTTGGTTAAGGTTGATACATTTTTATGAAGTCGAGAAGCGTAAGCCACACAAGTTGTCTTAAGAATTCAAAAATGAGAAAAAAAAATCTAACTTAAAATTTGAGAATCTGTTTAGGCTTGAATTAAGTTCATTTTGCCAATTACACTCACCACAACAGTAAAAAAATATCTCAAGACTTAGATGTACCACATTAAAGGTTAAATTAAATTAAATTAATGATCAAATGCTACATACACATTGGGAGGTATCATGAATTCAAAGTCCCAAGATCTTTTCAAAGCTGTCTTTTATAGTAAGTGAGCCGCTGAAAGAAAAAAGTACAAATTAAAGTTGTCTGAGTGATATGCATACTTGAATATATCACATTACTGCAGTTACTGATCCACAGTGAATCATTATATAGATGATTTAAAGAGCCCACTTGCCGCTGTGAATATAGTATGCTTAAACACTGCTCTCGTTAATTTTATCAGAAGTGGGTCTCCCCCTTCTCTCACATGCACGGGCCTTCTTTACCGCTTGCGTTCACCTGCTTCTGAATGATCACACCACAATACGGGGTCAGAGGTCAGCACTCGGCCCGGGGCAAGATGGGAGACGCTCTCAGGACTACAAAGACCAGGCACAAAAGCGACAAGAAACACGCACCTGTAACCAAGCTAAAGTCTGCGTACAATCAGACTTTTAAGCTGTTATATTCTTATGTGTGCTTTGATGAGGTGCATTTATGAAGCGCTGATCCCGTCTTGGGCGACTTAAACAGTGTGGCGGCGTCCGTTACAAAGGGATCAAAGGGGGAGAGAGTTGCTTAACCTGCTGACTTATGCCGACAGACAAAGCGTTTTGACAAAAGAAAGGCAAGAGAAAAAAGAGAGAAACTCCCTTCATTATGGGAGCAGTTTTTTTCTTCTTAAGATCGCCAGTCCTGAGAGAGCCCAAAGCAGGAGTTTCTCACTGAAGAATTGGCCCGGGCCTTGCAAATGATTCTGTTAAAGTGACAAAGAGGAAGAGAAAGAACAGGAGACTTTTTATCTGATGTGCAAGATGATTATCGCTCCACCTATCCCCCTCTCAAGCAGACTCCTTTCCGGCTTCCACGCCCCACACTTAAAAGAAGGAGCGGTTCATATTTTTGTTGTGGATAGCCCTTTGTAGATTTGCACTACGCACAAGAACGTTGAAAATGTAGCACCATTTTAGATACGTTGGTGAACAAAGTATATATAAAGTATATTGTTTACAGTCTGTTAATACTACATGATTGCTGAACACTGGTGATAATTTCTACAAGAGGGTATGCCTGATTTTTTATTTTTTTTAATCTAATGTAGTTTTTAAGAATATAGCAAAAATGTAAATACCGTAAGTCACTTACAGGACAAACAGTGTAAATAAGTTTATTTGTTTGTTTGGTTGTTTTTTTTTTGGTTGTTTTTTTTTTAAAGCAAATTATAAATTTTTATTAACATTTTTGTTTTAATATTATGTATTTGCCTTGTGATGATGTCACATAAATGGCAGACTGTAACCATAAAACCATTCAAATCTAATGTCATGGAAATGGGCAGAGATGCTGTACAGTAAAGTGTATTCTTTTATAGCGGGGCTGGAGTGGTCTGCTGAAATTCACTGTGTGCGTGTGGTTGTGTACATGTTGTGTGTGAAAGGACCGATTATGAGAACCTGTGAACCACTGAGTGACACAATTCTCAACACTGTGGCCCCTCCCCCACCCATGGGAGACCCACCCTGACATGTAAATCATTATCATTAAGCAATGCCATTTATGTACGCTTCCTCCAGAAAGAATTTTGCTGGTATAATTATAACAGCTAGTTAATTTAAATACCAATATCAAATGCTATTTGTAAAGTGTGTAGTATTCACTTCCTGCTAAGTCACACCACTATAACTAAAGCATAGCATATAGCTTAATTATGTTTAAAATCAACTGTATAATGAATTGGCACGCTATATTAATATATTATCAGTGTATTATTTAGTAAATGAATACATGCATATTTTGTTTCTTTTGTTTTTTTCTTTCTGGAGGTTTTGATTTTCTGCCCCAAAATCAACAAGTGGAGGGACTGTCTCCCTTGCTGAGCTAGAGTAAATACAATCAAACCAAAATATGAATAGAAACACTTTTTAATTGAATGAAATGAACCAGCCCAGAATCCCATAATTTAACAGATTATTATTTTTTTGTTTATTATTCATTTGTGTTCAGATGCTGTTTTGGTCCACTGGCTTTGTCCATGACACTTTAGGAGTTTTAAGAATTTTAACATGAGCAACCTGGGAGTGTGACACAATACTACTGCAATTGTTTACACAGCAGACGGTATCAGTCGAAGGAAATTGTAGAAAAGAAATTATAAAAATGCATTTTACTATAAATTACATGTTAATATTGTATGACACCTTTAGGCCTAAGAATTTAAAACACACAAGTAGAAGTTGTGAAGTCCAAAAGTGCTGAACAGAATCATGTTAGAAGTGTTGTGGGTATTCCCGGTGTGTGCTGACATACGGTATCATTCCGTTTTGTTGGCAAGTTTGTGAGTCTTTAAAGAAGAAGGCAGTATTTGAAAAGGCCTCCTGTGTTGTGTGCGTCATCTCAGCGTTTCTTATCATGACCTCTGTTGTACTTTCCACCAGGCCTGCCCGTCGCTCCGCTCCTTTTGTTCTGCTGCCTCACTCGCTTTTCAATCTCCCTCTCACTTTGATGCTCATTTTTTTGGAGTTGCTCCTTTTGTGTTCCATGCTTCTTGCATGCTTTGCTTTTATTCTTTTTAGTCCCGTGTTGCTTTCCCCTCAGCAGACCCCTCCTCTCTCTCGTCTCTCTCCTCTCGCCTTCACCGGGGGCTACAGCTCCTTAGGTTGGGCTGAGGCAGCATCTTTGTACAACACCGACCGTCTGCTCTGTAATCAAATACCATCTGTCGCTACATCTGAAGACTCACTCTCTTCCTCTAGCTCTGCCCACATCTGCGCTCCCCATGTGCCAGTGTTTCTGTCTACAGCGACCCGTGTAATGTACGTACAATTATTCCACCTGAATCATTCTTGGCCCTGCGGGGAGGAAGTCACTTTCACCACTTCCTGTTTTTGCTCCCAGTGGGTTCAAAGGTCATTGTCTTCAGGTATCCATGTTTGCTTTGTGTCAGCGAGACCTTGGCTGGGGTATAGGCACATACACACGGTAGATAGTGGACTTTAGCTTCTCAGTCTTAGATCAACGGCCCACTATCTCAAAGGCTGCTGCCAGACTTTCCCAATGTTTGCCCAATGTTTGTCCCTGCTCCGGCACAGAAAACGTTGACACGGTCCCCAAGGTCCCTCTGTGTGAGCGGGGGCCCCTCCTCCAGTCACTTGTGGTCACTTGTTATCGCAAATGCCAGGTTCAAGAACATTTTCCACTAGATGTTTTTATAAGACTATATGCTTTGACAACTGCAGCCCCCAAAAAGGCAGGACGCTAGGTACAATATTAATGTGAAAATGTAGTATGATTATTGGTCTCATATAACTATGGATGGTATCGTGGGAGACATTTTGATGGCAGCAATAGCATGTAAAACTGTGTATGTAAATGTTTAGTTTTTTTTTTATTAATTTTTATTTTTTTCTGCAACAGGTTAGTTAGTTGAATGTGAATATAAAGGTAAAAGTAAAATTATTGTTAGGATTTTATTAGAGTCATTAGAGTCCAAGCAGTATGGGTTAAAATAAGTGATATAACACCTCAATTTCAGTACCTGTGTGACGAACAACATAAGGACTTTGTTTTGATTTCTTCTTGCACAATCCACCTACAAGCAGCCAAATAAAGCACTTCACTTCATTTAGACACCCACTCTTTCAAAATGACTGTCTTCGTCAGCACCACAGATGATACAGAACTGTATTTTAGGGAACTTTTCAGGATGTTTGATATTAGTAATACAATGAATAAGAAGTGAGTTGGGCATTTTGGGTCTTGTGGCACCATAACTGTATATTACGAAGTACCTATGCTCAAACTTAAAACATAAAAACTATATTTTACTGAGGATAACATGTAATTGAGTTGTATAGTTATATAGGTATTAACTATGTGTGATGGGGTAATTACTTATTACAGTACTGAATATATTCTGTTTCTGAATAAATTGTTATTCTGCTTCAAGTGTAGAGACACCTAGTGGTCAACATGGGGAAAGTTTAGTTAACACTACTGCCAAATTGCTCTTGTTTCTTCTGTTTTGGGAATTTGAGAAAATCTTGTGTCTGTATCCTTATTTGCTATTTGCCTCTCCCCATCGTCTCTACCTCACTCTTTCTTTCTATCTCTCTCTCTCTCACCGTCTCTCTCTGGAAAGCTGCGATGCAACTGGAGCCTCAGAGACTCAAGAGAGGAGCCTGGGAAAGGAGGAACAAAGCCTCGCTCAACTCTGCACCTCCTCTCTCTCTCTCTTTCTCTCCCTTTTCTCTCTCTCTCTCCTATGCTCTCTGCCCACTGGCCGCTCGCCCCAAATTAAGACTTCAGACAAGAAAATGGGCTCAGTAAAAAAGAGAGAAAGAGGGAGAGAAGGAAGTCCAGAACAAGCCAAGAGAAGCTCTGTGACAAAGCCTCCGTTGTTGGACGGCAGGGCCCCCTCTGTCACAGTGTCAACTTGGAGGCCTTATTGTGGGCGGCACAGGCGGCATAATGAACACATACACAGCGCACATGCACATACACAGAGTACACATACAGAGTATACACACATACACGGTGCACACATAGACCTGCTGTGAGTGTGGACTCACGGACACGAACATGTGAAACATAACTT